GGTTGAAATGAGATGATGATGTACACACAATTTTTTTTTTTATAATGGCATAGGTATCTTTAAGCTCATTAGGCAAAAGACTAACCTCATTCGTATTATTGTAATTGTCATTGATTTGAAAGAATATTTCTTATATGATAGAAATCTAACACAAAATTTTTCATTAAATAGATGCATCTCCACAATGAGTAAGCGTGAAATGTTTAACTACACCCAACGTGTTTGCTCCCTTATATATAGAATAAAAGTAAAAGTCTACTTAATTAGCGAAATTTATCTCATAATGAGATAAGAAAAGTGGAAAAGTCTAAGATTTTATATTTAAAAGATGAAGTATAAGGTGAACCACTTTGATAGGTGATCCATCACACACTAGAATGAACAACCATTACATTCACATAGGATTCAAATTACTAAGGTAAACTTTCTATAATCGAATATTATAATTATCTTTTTTTTTCCTCTTCCTAACTATCATCACCACCATGAATATGTTGTGTACCAAGAGTTTTACCACACAACACATGTCTCCACATTAGTAAGATATTGTTCACTTTGGGTCAAAAGTCTCATATATTTTTGCTTTTAGACATCGTCCAAAAGGTTTCTTACCAATGGAGATTTGTGTGTATATAAATTCATGTTCATCCTCTTGTTCAAACGATGTAGGACTTTGATTATATCCCAATAATTCTTCCATTAAACAAAGAACCATGGTTTAACTCCCCCTTTATCGTGGAAGTTATCAGTCCATGAGTATACACTACAAGAAAAACTGTTATTATTTATAAAATATTACCTGCAGAATTTTTTTCTAAATAATGTTTAGTTATCTACGGAATATTACTTATGGAATTTTTTTCATAGATAATGTTTAGTTATCTACATTACCTACGAAATTTTTTTCCGTAGATAATGTTTAGTTATCTACGGAATATTACCTACAGAATTTTTTCAATAGATAATTTTTAGTTATCTACGGAATATTATCTATAGAATTTTTTCTGTAGATAATATTTAGTTATCTACGGATAAAATCCGTAGATAACAAGTTTCGTGGGTTATCTACAAATTTTTTTTTTGTAGATAATGTTATCTACAGATTTTCCGTAGATAACCTTAACGGGATGCAGGACAAAAATTTGTATGCTCTGAGTAATGTAAAGAATATTTGGTAAAAAATAAATATTATTAAAATTGTTATTTTAAATTTTTTATTTTTATAAATTAATGATGATAAAAAATAACATACTAATATCTGATTTTAAATTTGATATGAAAATATTATGATATAATTAGATAAGATTTTAAATTATTATTTTATTAATGGTTGATAATTAGAAAATAAAACAAGAATAAATACATTTTTTGAATTTTATATCATAGATTTAAGATGAATAAATATATTAAGTTAATTAATAATTTATTTAAAATGTTAAAATTTAATTTATAAAAATAATATTTTAAAAGAGAAGGGTTATAATAACACCGGTGTAACTTTTACTAAGTATTACATCGCTCAATAACTTTATATTAAATGTGAATTTTATAAATTCAACCGTTAGATTGAAAGTTTTTTACTCTTAGCTCATATATACAAAATTTTATATTAATTCAAGATGATTTGATACTTCATTCTCGTAAAACAAAATTGACGTAATATATACATTTCAAAATATACTAAAATATGAACACTTTGATTACCTTCAAGTTGTTGTTCAATTTTAACAAAATTTGATATAAACATATAAAGTGATATGAACTTTCAATCTAACGGTTACATTTACAAAATTTACATTTAATATAAAGTTATTGAGCGGTGTAATACTTAGTAAAAGTTATACCTGTGTTATTATAACACTTATCGTTTTAAAATATATCCATTATTATTTAAACTTTTAAATTTATAATAAATAATTTAAATTGTATCATAATATTAATTTTAACTAGAAATAAGTAGATTGTTAATTATACAAGTAAGTATATATATATATATATATATATAAAGATTAATTAAATATAATATAATTATTATTGGTAATATAATTACTATATATATTTTTATAGCGGTCTAGACACACTAAAATGAGAGGAATCTTAAAATAGTATAAGTACGAGATTGTATAGTTGAGGATGACTTAAATGAATTAATTTGTATTATTTATATTGACAACATGCATCTGCTTTTCGGTAGCTTATCTCATCAGAACTCCACAGTTAAGCGTACTTGACTTGGAGTAATATAGGGATGGGTGACTTTCTAGGAAGTTTCCCAGAAAATGTGCAGTAAGGACAAAACACGTTGAAAAGTGAAGTGTCATGAAATAGCATCCTTTAGAGGCCAAATATGAGGGTTGTTATATTAATAAATTTATTGAAATTAAACAAAAATTAATTTTCCAAAGGTTATTTACGGATAAAATCTGTAGATAACAACTTTCGTGGGTTACTTACAGAAAAATTTCCATAGATAACATTATCTACGAAAAAAATTCGTAGATAACAACTTTCATGGGTTATCTACGACCTTATTACCTACGGATTTTTGGCCGTAGATAATATGTAGATAATTAAGACTTATCTACGAATTTTCATGCTTATCTACAAATTTTTTCCGTAATCCTGATTTTTCTTTGTAGTGATATCCGATGGTGGCTCGTAGTGTTCAACCACACTCTAAGTACTTGCATTGCTGGTTCATGGTTAACTCACCATAGTAGAACACACCTCCTAACCACCCATGTTACCAGGAAGACTTTCTACCATATATGGACCCACCATTTAAGATGACTTTCGATACAAGGGATCTTTATGCTTGAATCTACCTGCCAATTCTATCATATTCATCAAGCTAGTCACCTAGTTGAACCAGTGGCTCTAATGCCAATTGTTGAGCACCAGGATTTGTTATTATGACAAATTTGAACTTGTGAGTCATCACATTGTGGAAGATTTGCACTCATGCGAAAAATTTGTGCATCTAGATGCATTTACAAGTCTCCTTTGTGGCAAACTTGCACTCCGTCATTATAGATTTGATCTCATCATCGTTGAAGATTTGTAGTCGCACGATAAATTTACACTAAAGCGACAAATTCACACTCGTGGAAGAAGAAGAGATAAAAGAAGTAGAAAAGAGAAAGGAAAAAATGGTGCCACCAATAAAAATTGCCTCTAGTAGTAGTGAGCGGTGTATGGTGGTTGGTGATACAAAGAAGATGAACTGTTAATAGATACAATGTAGAAGGCATATCTTAATAATTTGTATCTCATATTAATTTAAAAGACAAAAATAGTAGTGCATGGTGGACAACTTATGAAGATGATCTACCTTAACCTCTATCTCTATAAAAAGAAAGAATTATATATTACAATAATCTTATCTCTTAAATTTGGAAATTAGTGGGTGAGCAGCCACTTAATCAAAATGTTTGCAAATCTAAACAAATTACGATTCACTACTATTTATATTTTTTTGCTGTAAAAATAAATATTTTTCAATACTAATTTGTTATTATCGACTCGTACTCTTGTAGTAAATGTCATTCGTTTCATTTTCCAATTTGAATAATTGAGGCGAATGTCTCTAGTGATTAAGTGAGTCTCTAATGTTTTGTGAAATCCTCAAGAATTAAATTAGTTTATCAAATTTTCAATTAATATGAATGATATATTTAGATTTATTTTCAAAATTAAAAAATATTAAAAAATAAATAAACAAAATAAATTATTATCAGATAGAAATATTAAATTACATCAAAGGAATTTTTTTTTCAAAAGACATACATTACCTAAAAAGAAGTGTTTAGTATTTGTTATTTATACTAAAAGAAACTTTCATAAAAATAAAACTATTCAAATTTTATTGATCTACTGAAATGTATTAAATGAATTAACCAGTTATTGAGAAATGTTATAATTATTTACCATAATTTTTAATAAATAATTTTACAATTTCAAATGCTTTACTAAACTTAAAGAGGCCAGGCTTATGTATTTTCATGACTTGTGTCTCATACTCAAATGTTCATGACCATGCCCCTTTTACTATTTTTTATAACTAATTTGTTGGTGTGAAGTTTTATTAATTTTGTTGATGAATAACTTATATCAAAAAAATTTAGTTGGACATTTTTAGGGAAGTCTTTCCTTTCAACTGCATCTTTTCATTTATAAAACTTAAAAATTAAGACCTTTGTTCTTCTTGATGGTGGAAAGGTTAACAGAGTAGTAATATCTCAACAATAGTGTAATAAGTGTAATAAGTAGTGAAAATAAATTTTACTTAACTTGCTAGAATATAAGAGGAGCACTAATAAAAGTAAAGCAAAAATTTAAATAAAAAAAAAACTGAACTATTTTTATAAAAAGGTAAAAATAAGATGTGTGAAAAGGGCCTAGTTCGATGGTTTGACTTGATAGTCTGAAAATCCAAATTTCAAAGAAAGCGTCACAAAAATAATTGGACCAATTGGACTAAGTTAAACCATTAATTTCTAGGTTCAAAGCCTATTGGTCTATCTGACCCTATATTTTTTTACGTATAATATTTTTCTAAAATTTAAATAAAAATAAAAGTTAAATAAATTTGGTTAATTTGACTCATCTCAATAAACTAACAAGTCAAAATAATTCAATTCAAAGCACTAAAATAATGCAATTTGAATAATATGATATTTATCATGGAATTGAGAGCCTCCTGTCAAAGTGGTATGAGAACCCAAATGACTTTCAAAAGGAGTACATATCATGTGAATATGATACATATATTTCGATTTAATTTTTTGTAGTACAATTTAGTTCAATAAAAAAAATAGTTAAAGTCAATTTGCTTGAACTAATTTTCAACTCAGTTCGATTTATGAATTCAGATTAGTTTGTTCAACCCTAAATAAATATAGGTTACTGAAATTTTGCTGGCCATAGCAATATTAATGTTTTTATATTTTCTGTTGTGCATATTTCGATAAAGTGATCCTTATTGAACTATAATCTTTCAGATGATGATGGCAAGTCAACGTTGATGAAATTGGAGACATTAGATCTTAGTTTCAATTTTTTCAATGCGAGCATAATGGAACTCGTGGGTGCTCTCCCATCTATCAAGACTTTAGTTCTTGCTGGTAATTTTATAGGTGGACCATTTCTTATGAAAGGTATGAATCTAAGTAATTACTATAGTATATGTTTTTAAACTTCGAGATTTCTGCACGTTTTAATTCGCGTTATTTTTTGGTCCAAGAATTGTCACTTCTACCAAACTTGGAAGTGTTGGATTTGAGTTTCAATCGTATTGGCAATGGCAGCCTCTTTGCAACTCAAGGTAATTCATTAACGACTTCATTTGCCCATTAGGACTATAGTCTTCATGAAATAATAAAAAATAGAATCTTACGTAATTATAATAAATAATCTCTCCTTACTCATTATCTTATGTTGATTTTGAATCTTTCTATGTGTTCTTGAAATAAATAAAAAATATATGTATGTTCTTGGTTCTCTAAAGATAGAGGATTTGATCTTTGTGATTACTTGTAAAGGAAATTTTCTAAAGATCAAGAAACAAAATTTTGAATAACTATTTTTTCAAGAGTAATTTTTTAATACAGAAATATGGTATGAAACAATATTTTTTTTATGTAAGTTTAATTTTTTTAAAGATTTTTAAACATTAATTCAACCCCTTTTTCTTGGCGATCCTCGGGATTTAACAATGTAAAGGAAGCATCATATTGCACATGAAAAACCTCCTCCTAAAACTCCCTAGCTGAATGGTTTAATAGAGAGGATGAACAAGACATTGATTGATAGTGTTTAGGGTTTAGGGTTTAGAATAGTGAGGTGGCAAATAAAATTTGGTTTAGGGTTTAGAATAATGAGGTGGCAAATAAAATTTGGTTCAACAAGAATGTCAATTATGACCACTTAAGAGTTTTTGGCTGCAAGACATTTGTACATGGTCTAAAGGATAAGATATCCAAACTAGATGCAAAAACAAGGTAGTTTATCTTTATTGTCTATGGTTGTTTGAAAAGATGGTTGATCCAAAAGGAGATGATGAATTAGATTTTACAAAATTCTTTTCAATTTCCGTGGACAAAAAACTTTTAAAAAAATTTTCCAATGAACCAAATTGATTTTCAACCTATGTGAGTTATGTTGAAAGTTCTTGCTAATGTGAGTTTAAAATCTAATTACTCTACATGCATTGTTTATGAATCGTAACACATATTACTCAGAATGCTATCAAATTAGCAAGAATGTAAAAACAAGTGTAAAGATAAGTGAAAAATGCATAACAATTTGTACTATTTCAGCCACATCCACTTGTAACCTACATTCAGTCCCCAATCAACCCAATACAGATTTGTACTAGTCTTTAATGTTAGAAGATTTACAATCACAATATCACATGAAATTTACTTCTATACTATTAAAGAAACCATTTCTTCAACCTCAAGAAACATTTTCTTATAGCACCCCACTACAAGACTTTTTCTTTCATTATTTCTTTCTTTCTCTAAGAAACCTACTCAAGAAATATATCTACTATATACAAAAAGATTAAGGAAAGATTTCACCTGTAGTATATAAAAAATCATAGTAGGTGAATCAAAATAAATTACTTAGCCAATATCTCCAAGTAGATGATGATGACAATCCACACTTGATTCATACTTGAGGTTCCCACAAAAGGTTTCAAACCTATTTTTAAGAAAAAGGCTTTTTCAGAGCTCACTCACAAGTGTATTTTCACAAAGTTTCAAATCTTACAAAATTCTAAGAAATGAAAACCAATTTATAGACTTTTTTGACTGAAATAACTGATTATTGTTATGAATAATCAATTATTTTGTTCTTTGCAAATATGAAAATCCACTAACAATAATTTAATTAATTATTTTTCAATATAATCAATTCTTCCAAAAGACCACTTATGAAATAATTGATTATTTCACAAAATAATAGATTATTACAAGTTTTTCATTTTACTGAAAAATACAGCAAATAATCAATTATTACTAGAGATAATTAATTATTTTGAGTAAAAACCCAATACCTCAATTTTTCAAGCCATATATCTTTTATATCAATTTTAAAATATCACCATTGTCATCAATCATCAATCAAAATGAAGAATTAAAAGCTAAGTAAAGATTTAACACTTAATTTATGCACAAAGCAACACGTGCAACAAAGTAAAACCAACATTAAATTACAATTTGCACTCTTCTCTTTCAAGAGGGTCTATATTACATATTTTAAAAGCTATATACTACATACTTTTAATCATAAAAAACACTTAATATCGTCATCTTGAGCTTAAGCTTGATCAACAATGGTGAGGATGAATTCGATTATGGATTCTATGATCCTTTTGAGAAAAAGCTTGTCAAAAGTCATGATGTGATGTTCATGGAAGACCAAACCATTGAAGATATTGATAAGGTGGAGAAGTATAATGATGGAGGACCATCCATGGTACTTCATGTGAAACCCATTTTCACACATCTTTCCTCCTTTTTTTAATTTTTACATGCATCTCCTTATCTTCTTTCACCCCACCTATTTTGGTAGCATGTAAAAACTAAAAGAGAAAAAAAAAATATGTTAAAAAAAAGAAGAAAGTAGCAAATTGAAAGTTAAAGGAGTAAAATTAGAAAATTAAAAAAAAACTACAATATTTTATAATTTTAAAAAAATAATAAAGAAAGTGTACTTATAAAAAAAAAGAAGTGTATATATCATGAGTCAAAGAAAGAATATGAAGATTTAAAAGTATATAACCAATTTACATGGAGGATTATCTGTAATTGGGCTCCATGTAAATTGGGCTAACACACTTCTTCCTGGGCCTGGTAGTAACTCCGCAGGTATGGCCGCTATATCAGAGGGACGAAAAAAAAAATGAAGATTTAAAAGTAGGTTTTTTTTATTTATTATTAAGTGAGTATATTTTAAAATTATAAAATGTGTGGAAGCTTATAAGTGTTTAATAAAAATCAAAACCAAAATATAATATTAAAATAAATAATATTTTTTTATTTATTGATAATTTATTTTAAAATATTAAAATTTAATTTATAAATAATTGTGATAAAAAAAACTAAATTAAGTAGAAAGTCAAAAAAAAATTCTCAGAACTTTTTCGTTAAAGAAAAATTGATGTAAGAACTCGTATTTTATACATAAGGGTTACTGAAAAAAATTTAAATAATAGGAATTATCAAGATAATATATAATTAGATAACAGTAAAATAATCTTAAACAAAAATAGAAAACAAAATTGATTACAAAATAAGTGAATAGTTATTATATTAATGGAGTCAAAAAAAAAAAATTTGTATATATATTTTTTTCTACTTTATCCTTAAGAGATGTGATGATAAAAAATAATATAATAAAAGATATAAATGTCTAAAAGAATGTAGAAAGCAAAGAGCAATGGTTTTAAAAACATATTTAAGTCAAAATATTAATATATAAATAAATATAGATTTAATTTTTTATAAAAAATATGTGGAATTTTAAAAAAAATTCCTTATAAAAAATTTAATCGTTTTAATTTTTATATTCATAAAAAATGATGTAGTTTTATCCTGCATAACAAATTAAAAACACATAACTTTTATAATTTTTTTTATAGGGATTAGAGAATGTAGTTCTATAATGATAGAATATTACACAATACTAAAAGACAATTTTATTGGTATAAAATTTGTATATATATATATATATTATCACGTAGATGTTGTATTACTTTCAAAATGTGTGAGAGAATTACACGACACAATCACCAAATTAAATGCACTGCATTTGCTAGTATTAATTACAAGACATCCCATATATATATAGGTTCATAACAGACTAATTAACATTAACTAACTAAATAACTAAAAACATAATTTAAATAAGCAAGGATTAAATGATATACTTAATAATCTTCACTTTGACATGAATCCTTACTTTACAAATGTTATTTCCAACAATTAACATTAAGTAAGTCTAAGTAGTGCATGAACTTGTTTCTTGGAACAAGCTTTGTGAACATGTTTGTTGGGTTCTCTTGAGTATCAATTTTTTCTTCTTCTTTAACCATCTTCTCAGTTTCAATGAAGTAATACCAGATTTCAATGTATTTGGTCCTACAATGATGCACTTGATTCTTGACCAAATAAATTGCACTCAGAAAATAATAGGAAGTGACAATTTTATCCTTTGGAAACCCAAAATCATTGATAAAACCCTTTAGCCAAATTCCTTCCTTTATTGCTTCTTCCAAAGCTATGTACTCAACTTCAATTATTGATAAAGCAATTGTAGGTTAGAGGGTTGTTTTTCAACTAATGAGGTATTTATGGAGAAAAGAGAGACACTAGAAGAAGGTTGAATAATGTCACTAAAAAAACCGCATTTTTCATGAAACAGTGAAGTAATAACATTCTAGTAAGAAGTGCAGACGAAAAGGTAAGTAGTAAGAACATAAGGTGTTTTTTCTACTAGTTTGTCTTAACTATTGAGACTACATCCAATTCTTGATCCAATTAAATCATGTTACACTATCTTATCAAAGATACAAGTATTCTTTTATTAAACCACTTATAACCCAACTCTAAGTACTCTTTGACTTGCCTCTTTAAGATACAAGTATTCTTTTTACACAAAACCTCTTTAGGCTTCAACACCGAATATTCTCTTACAAACAAGTCTTTCCAGGTTCAAGCTCGAGTATTCTTTTGTAGACATGTCTCTCCAAGCTTAAACCTAATAACTCAAAATTACAAAGGTTTATAGAGTTGCTTCGTATTCCTTTCAAGATGTGATACAATAAGCTAATTACAAAGACTTTTTATAGAAAGAAAGAATTATAACTTTTTACAATTGATTGTCTCTATTGTATATATTCTTTTTAAACTTCAAACTTCCTTTTATAGGGTTTGAGTAAAAATGATTGTTTCAAATCCTTGAGGTTTTCTCTCATGACTTGCTTCATCTATCTTTGTGATTTACTTCTCAAGGAGAGAAATGTATGTTAGTGTAATAAATACTTGCATTAAATACTTTCACCAACACTATAAGAAAATTGTCATATAGTGACACGCATCCTACAATGATACAAAATTTGTCACTAAAAATTACTTTTACCTACACAATAAATACAACATATGTTGGTATATTGTTAAAAAGTGTGAGTATAAGTTATAGTGACACACAAAATATGTTGTTAAATCTCATTCAAAATCAACACTAAAATTGTGTGTAGTTATATGTCAAATAGATATATTACCTACATATATCATACTTATAGTGACACTTTTTGTA